TTGCTCTAATTCGATTTAAAAGCGTTTTGATATCATAATTAATTATCTTAAAATTTTTCTACAAGTGCGATAAAAATTTCAAAAACATAAGGTTATTTTTAGCTAATATTTAAAAAATCTAATAAATGAAGCAATTTTAAACATTACATGGAAATTAGTTACAAAATTAATCTTCATAAGTTAAGCAATTTATCTTTACCATTGCATTAATCTCAAAAAAACAAAATAGAAACAACTACAAATAAAAAACACTTTCTCGCTAGTGGATAAAAATCATTTTTATAAAAAATGTTTGTAGATAAACGTAGAGAGAACATAATTTGTATATTTAAAAAAATACATCAATAGATATACTAGTTTTGTCTAGTCCGAACCAGTTATCTAGTCGTGAAGGACGTGAGGGGTTGGGTGTTGTATAGGTTGGGCATAACGTTCAAACATCTTAAAATTACATATCCTGTTATAAACAGTTGATATACAATGCCTTGTAATTATTATGCAGCGTGGATTTATTATAAATATCTATAGCTCAGATTCAATCGTTTGTTTGGTAGTTTTTTCTTATTGTTTTGAATGAAGTTAAGGAATTGTTTTTAGTTTGCTTATCAGCAAAACAAATTTGACATCTTGGATGTTTGTGTAATACAGTTACACCCATAGTTTGATTAATAGATTGTAGATTTGTGTTGATATGCTAATAGCCATTTTAATATGGTTCGTGTAAATACCTAATAACTTTCACTTAGAATAAATAAACAAACTGATTCAATGCAATATATTTATTTGGCATCTTTATTTTTGTATTTTCTCGCTACTTTATTAAAAAAATATAATAACTTAATAGTTATTTATAAAATAATTGACACATTTATTCTGAATGCCATATAAAAGAATTTTTAAATAAATATATATTCTAAAGAAATTATCATATTTTTTAAACTAAGTTGTAAATTGCTTATACATGAATAATTTTGTTCTTACATTTTATAAATTCTTAAAAGTAATTTAGTTTATTCAATTTAAAAAATAATTTTATCAGTAATATGAATATTTTTAATTAAAATGTATTTTTTCCTGAATTAATTTAATAAAATAGCTTGTTTAAATTGTTGTAAAATAGTTAGTAATTGAAAATTTATTTTAAGCTTTTGAATTTAAGCATAAAATAATGCATTTCCTAAATTAAATAAATATCAAGTAAACAAATAAAATTACAAAGTGCATTGATTATAGTTAAAATAAAACGTTGCAAAGTTTTTCTTCTGATTTAAAATATCTTATTGAAAGTTTTTTTAACTTGCAAACCTCATATCATACATTAATTTAAAACTATCTGATTTTTGAACATTTAAAACAAATATGTAATAATATAACTTGAATAAAATGGAAAAGTCTCTAAAATTTGCAATGTCTAAAAAATATTTTTAATTTATTGCTGCATTTAAAGTACACATAGATTGGCTAAGATTTAAGTATGATTTTAAAATCATTTAGAGGAAATTAAGAAAAGAAAAATTAAACTGATTTTTATCTTTCGGACAATGTGTGTCTAAAGATGAATTCCAAATAAAAGGGAAAGTAATATATTGATATACGAAGCCGGTCTCCATCTAACCTCAAGCAATAGAACTTCCATTTCTTTCCCACTGGCAATATTTACCAGCTATATACAGCATTTAGTAAACCGGTTTTCGTTCTTTGATCGTAAAATGTGCCATTTCGTACTTTATGTTATTGAAAGTGCGATGGAATTTAGAAAAACCATCGACTACAATTTTTCCTCCCGAAACGATACTTTGAAATAATTTTTCTGGGTATATCAATCATGAGTATATCAATTTGAGTGTATCAAAATAAGAAAACTGACATTTCTACGATAATACTTAAGCACTTTCCTTCAATTTATTTCTAGTTTTAATGACTGAAATGATTTGTTACTCATAATCTAATCATTAGATTAAAAAAATAACATATCTTTGGATACAAAATAATTACTGAAATGATATTCATCTATTTTTTTCAACTGTTTAAAAACTATCTATAATATTCTTCTGTGTTATGTAAAAATTAATCTAAAGAATTTATAAAATCCTCAAAAATAGTATTTTACTGAAGAAGAAAATCGGTTTCTTAACTTTCCTATAAATACATACAATACAGAAAATTATAAATATAAATAATGTCCACCTACTGGAATCTTAATCAATTATAAGCAACATCCATTAACTTCAGGTCAAAGTAGCACGCGTTCAAGTCAGCCATCAGCCGGTAATGCAGTTCAGAAAAAAGGGGGAGTTTATGGGGGCCCCTTTACCTAGTCCCTCTTGTCTTACCAAGATAACGTTATCAGAGGGATAGCCTTCACCAAGTGGCCATTAAAGTGAGGGTGGCCGTAATGGGAAGTGTGCTAGTGATGCAATTAGGAACCAGTCTATTTTTCCCCCTTGCGTAGTTTCTTGTCACGAAGGCATATAAAGTAAACTGTTTTTTTTTTTCTTCTTTTTAATTCAAGTATGTTTTTATGCATTAAAGTACTTAAAAAATAAATATGCAGCGTTGCTTCTAAATATTGAAAAAAGATCTGAAAAATATTTCACGATATCTATCATAAAATAAGTATATTGAGTTGAATTCAGAAAAACGTTATTTATTAGTTTGTAAATTGCACACTTAAAATTTGTTACGACTTTCTTTTGTTTTCTTTTTTGAAAATATTGCTAATCCTTAAAGTTAAAAAAACTGTAAAATACTCTTTTTAAAGTTAAAAATGAATGCTTGATATGAATCATACGGAAGAGATTTACCTGTTCCGGTTGGATTCACCTGATTAACTTTTTATTTATTCATTCTCCTTGTGATTGATTATTGTTTGTTGATTACGCTTTTTCAATAGGATACGAGATTGTCATTTGTGTCTAAACAATATAAGTCGATTTTTATTCATTCATTTGTAAAGAAAGTTATTTCAAAAAATTTTACGCTTTGTTTGCTATTCTCTAATCCCTTGCAGCGAGTAATCAAAATAGAGTTAATAGTGTTTTAAATTCCATTGGGGTTGATTTAAACACAAACATCACACTTGAGCATTCGACTGAAAGCTTGTTAAATGTGTTCTATCTTGTTTTCTGTCAACACAGCCTTTATTCTGTTGTAAACAAAAATGATTTCTTTATGTTACACCCATAAGGAAAATTTTTACTTTTTATCTGTTTTGAAAGACGATAAATCACTGATATATTTTTTTAAATGGCTATCATTATTGCATATTTTGTAACAGAAAAAAAAAAAAACTATATTTGGAATGCCGAGAAAAGGTTCGTGTATTTCAGTCTGACAAAAAGCAGCAAAAAAATTAAATACCAGAAACATTAATATCAGAATTTGTATAGTTATGAAAATACGATTCCAGGCGGAATGGAAATTGAAGCTGATTGGCCAGTAGACGTTGTCCATCCCTCAGGCATAGGCATTCCGCGTTCCAACACGGCTATTCGTTATCGGTCCTTGCGATCAAACGTTTGAGCTCAAGTAGACTGAGGGAAAAAGTAGAACTACGTTTCAGTTACGAAAGACCAACCGGATTATTTTGTGGCAGTGCTTGTGAGGCGTGTGGACTCGTGTACTTTTTCCGTTGATGGGCAACTATGTTTAGTCTTATTTTTAAATAAATACGCTTACGCAGGAAGATACCTTTTTAAAAAAATTAATATTTATTCATTTCCAGCAGACTTGGTACTTTTAGCTACCCCTTTTAAATAAATTTTGAAGATTTTTTCTCCTGTTTAAGAGATTTTAATAGAAAAAGTTAATAAAACATTTTTATGTATTTTTGCACGTGCCAACACACATACATTGTGCTGTTTCCAACTGACGGTAAACTTGTAAAGTATTACGGGAAAACTAGATTCTTATCCATTCTTTCTGACACAAAAGTCCACTCAATGCGTCTACCTGCCTCAAGTGAAGCTAAAGGCAACATTGTTCACTTTGTGTCAGAAAATTCTCCAAATTTTTTACAATCATTTTACATTAAAACACTATATCAATTTTATGTAATAAAATAATATCATGCGAAAGAAATAGTAATTATCATTTGTTTATTGTGAGATAAGATATTATTATAATTACTTGTAAACATTTTTATCATTCGAACCAGATAATCGATCTAACAATAACGTGTGATCCGAAAATATTTTGCATTCTCTTTTAATTCTCTGAATTATTTTATAAAAGTTCTTTTACATTAATGCTTATTAAATTATTTACATTCAAAATATAGAAAATTTTAAGTAAAATATTATTAGACTGCACAAAATTTTTATTAAAAATGTGCCTTAATCTTTTTATTTATTACATCGTTTGTAACAACGGTAATTAACTAGCTACAGAAGTAACCATAGATGAATATTTTTGTTTCAAATATTGGGAGATGAAAGAATATGTATGCGATTTGCAAAATACCCAAGTTTTCCCACCTTTCATTTTTCGAACTTTATGATATCATCATTAATCTTTTCTTTTTTTGTACACCATTTCGAATCACCATTTCTGACTTCTATGTTTCATGTATTAAAATTTTCGAAGTAATTTAAATATTTCGTAAGAAACTTTATTAAAATAGTGAAAAATTAAAGATGTTGATTTGATTAAAGTCACTGTTATTCTAGGATTTGCATAACATGCTTTTCTGTTATAGAAATTATGGTTTGAAATAATTTCACTAAAATTCTAATTCTTATATCGTAAAGAATATTTAATACATATATTTAAAAGTTTAAAATTTATATTGGAATTATATATTAAAAGTAACTAAATAGTTAACGAAAGGTATTATAAATTTTAAAATAGTAAAAGCATTAAAGTAGAAAACAATTGAGAAAAGCGGCAATACGAGAGTTGCGGTGAGCGGCTAAGTTTGCCCAGTGGGGAGTACTTATATTTAACAAACACGAGGAACTCCGAACGAGAGAGAATACGTAGAGCCTTCGGCAACGCCTTACCTGCTAGGCTTATTTCTGTCTTTTCACAAGGGTCAGTCCACGACGAATAACTCCTTGAGGCATCGGGGACTTTCACGGGGGTGGGGCAGCAAGGATGGGATGCCCTCGTGCCCCGACAAGACGTTAAACCAATGTTTAATATCCTATACACATTCACTTCCCTACAATGAAGTTATTAGTATCCACGGTTGCAATGCACTGGCTACTTTATCCAACCAAAGACACGTGCCGATTGTGTGATCGTCAGACGGTGTCGTAGCTTTACGCTCTGCGTTCACCCGTCATCTTCACCCGTCACCACAAGGGGAAGCTTGGTATGAACAAACGTTCGCCTCCATGACCACGATGAGGACTAACGTGTTACGGTCTGGTTGCAACTTAACTTGGGGGACGTTTCGCTACACATTCTGTCTTCGTTCTTTCCACCAATCATCGGGAACAAACCGAGCGCATGCGCCAATACTCGACTGCTAAAGTTTGCCAGTGATCGCCACTACTAAAAAGTCGACGTATTAGTTCAGAATGGGGTCGAAGTTTTTAGTAGCTTTGGCTACTTTTATTCAAATTTTAAAAAACAAAAACTTGTTCTAAAGGCTTGTTTTTATTTTTTATGCAAAATCTACACTTGTTTTTTCTCTAATTTTAAAAGAAATGTTCTAAAACGATCAAATGGTGTAATTTCGTTCCAGGAATGCTTTTATATAAATAAGTTATTTATTTTCAATTATTATTAAAACATTGTAAGAAAATACATAAAATTTAAGAATGTGCCGATCTTTAGTCTAAGACATTAAATATAAAAATTATCGTGATTAATCTATGATATATTTTAATTTTAACATTTAATTTTATCTACAGAAAAATATTTACTTTGGACATGAAATATTTATATTTATATGTAAAATTAAATTATACATAGGTGTATTTGTTTCTGTTTTGATTTCGAAAATGCATATGCGATTAGGAACCATCAGTTATATTTAAAGACTAATTAATTAATTGCTTAGCTTTATAATGAAATTTATAAGCTTAAAGATTAATATCTTTAAGCTTATAAATTTGATAAAATAAAATGCAGTCGTATGCAGTTTTATCATGTAGTGGATTTGCGATTGATTTATAATTTGATATTAGTTACAGATGAAATTAATGCCCGGATTTTTTAAATTGTTTATAATATTACATACAGAATATATCATATTTTGTAATTAGTAACAACATGTTTTAATACGCATTGCGTGTTTTTCGACATTAGCGAGTCACTATTTCTGAAACTATTGTAGGTTCATAAGGAAGTAAACGCACACGCAGGCACGTGTGAACAACTAAAATCAAATAAAACCAGTGGACGTTTGAGTTGACACGTGACCCTGTGACGTGAAAGGTTAGCGTGGGCGATGCATGTGACGTCAGCAGTCGGATCCGGTTCTGTATCCTGGACCTCCCCCAGTCGAAAATTTTCAACCTGGGGTCCAATGACACAGCCTTCACTTCCCCGTTCTTGTCCCACCTGTGCGACCCTTGATCTCTGTCTTTTTTATCCTCTCCCTGTCAGACCTACCTAGACCACTAGCGTTTTCAACTTCGGTAGCTCACAATACATAGTCCACCACTTTCGTCCGACGTGAATAAACTCAGGAAGGGATTTGGAGATGTTTATCCAGGAAGAGAGTTGTTTAAATGGTAATCTGCTATTACACCTGACGGAGATAAAAGAGGTCTCGTTTTTCCGCTTATATTAGTTTATCTACCTTTCAGTTGATTGATATTTTCACGCATTTTTATCGTTAAAAATATATTAATTTTATTCACAAATCATAACAGTTTTTACACATCTAAATATTATGAATGACAGTAGATTTTATGCAAAAATTTAGGTAATAAATATTATAATATTAAATGAAGTCTAAATCCGAGATATAATATGAAATTATTTAGCATAATATTTACATATAATCAGATATAACTTAAAAATTAAACTTTAAAAGCGATCTTTAATTGAAGAGGAATTTTAAATATATTTTTACATTAACCGAAACATTTTCTTTAGTTATTTTGTTATAAATTTCAACATTTATAACAACTCTACTATAATAAAAACTACTATACATCGTATATAAATTAAATAAATAAAATTAATTTTAAAAAGTCATATAGGTTATCATAAACAACAACAGTGTTCAATTCTGGAATTAAGTAAATTTTGCACAATAATTTTTACATTATCAGAAACATACAGACCTATTATAATAATACCACTTACTTTGTCAGGTACTCAGCAAGATGATGGGATCTTGTCAATCATCATTACAATACAGCTCGAAAATAAGAATTATCTTCTAGAAGATTTATGCTTAACATTAAGAAAAAATCACACAATGATTTACGCAGTGATTTAGTCTGAAAACTTTCGGAGCAAAGATCCACCAATCTAATGCTAAACTTTTAATATTTATATTCAATTTTCTTCTTCGGAAAAATTCAGAAATTTGTCTTCTATTTAATTTATTATTGATCATAAACTTTGATTTTTCGCTTTGTGTTGCAATTTCGCAACATTTTTCCGTGTTTGTTTTAATAATGAAAAATAGTATCAAGATATCGACAGTCATTTGTTTTTTCCGGAAAGTTTGAAGTTAATGGAATCAGACGTAGATGAAAACCTGGATCATCAAGACGATTTCGCAATAATGCTGTCGTAATATTCGGGAAAAATCTAACGTATATCAATCTTAGAATCTGTTTTTATATTTTTATGCAAATTCTTTAATCGCGCCAGATAAATAGCTTCTAAAGAATCATTCTGACACTTATGATGTTCAACTGTCAATTGTACTCTTTGCAAGTTTTCGTAATCTCTTGAGCCATTTCGAAGCCAGTTTTCAATATAATAGGAGAACTTGAAATTGTTAGATCTGTCGTAAAATAAAATAAAAACGAAAGGCGTAAATATATAAATATTTAAAGGATTTTATTTGTTTTCTTATTATTATATCTAAACACCTATGTTCTATTTGGTGTTTTCTTGTTGTTTCAAAAATTCACAAATGTATCAAAATCTATAATTAGAGTAGCTTAATGGTCAAACTTCTTTCAAATATGAAACATTATTAGTAATTCTTTTACGGTAATTAATTACTAATAATTGAAAATATTATTTATTACATAAAACGAAGCTATAAAATTAAGTAATCAGATGAATTAATATTGATATGTAAAATACTTACATTGGTTAATTTTATAAACATTTAGCCTATCTAGTTTAATTAATTTAATTATTAATTTTAATTAACTCGACAACTTGATGCTTCGAAGAATTAAAATTTTATATGTAGTAGACCCCTATATATATAGGCTATATATATATATATATATAATTAAAAGAAAAACCAAGTTATTAGAACGAGTTTTAGTAATTAAGAGTACTAATTTAAAGGTCTCTTAATTTCAATTCTCTCTTTATCTAGTTCGTTTAAAAGTTTATTTTTGTTTTATGGAATTAATATTTACATTTAATATGAATTTTTATTTACATACACTGTAAAAATCTATTGTAAAATTGTTTTCATAAAATTATAAATATTCAGAAAATGTAAAATAAAAGATTCTGTTTGTTTTTAAGGGTATAATGATAAACTAAATTACACATTGAAATTCACAAATAAATTCATTTCGATAATTGTCAATTTTTACTTTTAATTCCTTCTCGATACTGCTGTCGGCATGGTGAAAAGCGCGCGATGTGATAATTGGAACAAAACATTATAAGTTTGACTGTCGAACATGAAAAATAACCCTTTAGTTACCGGTTGCGGCCGTTAGGAGCGCTTTATTTTACTTTTTTTCCTAATGGGGAAAATGTTAAAATTGAGCCTCGTTTCTCGATTTGACACCAATTTTACTATTTCTTAAATTAGATAGCAATCAAAATGAATAAATACAAATATATCACAAAAAAGGAAAGTGTTATACAAGCAAGATAAAAGTAAAAATAGATTTTAGAGTTGAAAGTATGGAAAAACTCAAGTTGTTAAATTTTTCCATACTTTCAACTTTAATATTTTTAATTACTGTATATGATAAAATGGTAGGTTATACCCCAGAGTAAATTCATCTTTTGTTATAAAATTATTGTAAACATATATTGTATGGAATAATGACTATTTATAATACTAAATATTTAAAATTATTATATTAAAAACTTTCTCAAGTTTATTTGCCATAATGTAGTATTATAAACTTACGCGATCTGTCGTTTAATTTGTATGCAATTTTATGTAAGTTTAACATGGATTTTATAAAATCGTAGCTTGATTTTTGAGTGTGTCGTAAATAGTTTTAATATCAAAGGTTTACTTAACAATACTTATTTGTCAGAAATTCATCTAAATCCGTCAACCTTTCGCAAACTTGTCTACACGCAAGGCAACCATTTCACAAAAATGACCACTTAACGAACATTGTTTTTTCTTTCTGCCACAACCGCACTATAGGACACGCCTCGTTATTTGACCGTCAGAAAAGAGGACGCCGGAAAGGGGTAGACATCAGAAGAGCAAACCCCTTTTCCCCTCTACATTCCATCACATTTCTTGACTCTTTTCACCTTTTGCTGTTTTTAACATTCCTTAGTAATGACGTTCGCTCGAGATACGCTTCGTCCGTTTCGACCTTACAATCTCCTTTTAGACTTTTCTACTTCTGTCCCATCATCTGTCCTAAATTTCATCTCCATTAAATTCTATTAATGTATTCCCCCCTCTTCGAATATCGTTGAATATGATGTACGGACCGTTTTCCTGATGCTGAGGAAAGTTCAAATCAGTTTTCAAAATCTTGTAATAAGTTAAATCTGGAATTATTTTTATTACAAATAATAGTAAATAAATAAATAAAGCTTAAAATAATCTACAATTATGGTTTTAACTAAAATTTTAAAAGAAAAACGTTGTAATGGAATGCGAACAAACGATTTTAATGTTAGTCTAAATCTATAGTAAAATCTAAAAATCCATCGTATGCTTCTGCGTTTACATATAATCGATATAATATTAGAATAACAAATATTTTTCTCTTATCATATTATTATATAAAGTTAAATGATTCGAAAAATTTCCGTTAAATAAACTCTTCTGGTCTGTAAAACCAGATATAAACAGGTTTATTCAACAAAAATATTTATTTCATACTTACGTCTGACTTGATAACTTTGTATTCTGTATGAGAGGCATTTTTGCCGAGATGCTTGACTATAAATTCGTCGTATTTCTTCGAGGAATGTTGATATTTCTTGTAGATTGCGTACGATTTAAATACTTCGGTTCAATCGATTTCAGTACCTTCAACAAAAATTGTTTTTTTTTTATTTAAATTTTCAT